ACTGAAGTTAAGTCTTGTAAAAAGAATTACAACAAGCTTTGTAATATATAGCTTTTGCTGCGCAACTTTATTTAATCAAAGGGATCAAAAAATTAGATCCTCAATGGTGGGCCAAAAAATAGGCCGCAAGAAAATGTTCTTTCTATGAATACAGATTTATTATTTGCTTAAAGAGTACAGGGATATATTCAATTTTGTTAAATTTATATAACAGCCAGAAGGATCCATCTATTCTTATGGATATCAGCGTTTAAGATGCCAAGTGAATACAAGCGGGAGCGTTTTAGAAGGCGTTGCGTAGCCAATAAATTTCATTTTTTTCCTTTTGGCTATAATAATGTTTCGGTCTCATCCATTCGGCAATCTGCTAGGTATGGTCTTTCTCTATGATTCTGGGTCTTTTTGGTGTTCTCGCATCTTCAAATTGGGGATGCCACAGATTTTCGTCCTTTGTGGGGGTGAAATGCACTTGTAACAGTATGATATCACAGGAGTCTGGATTGCTCTAGCTTTAAAAATCTGTGAGATCTATGAGCCCATCGGGACGGGCAGATGGACTGACAGACATGGCTCAAAAATTATTTTTGAAACTGACACATAATACTTATTTGTATGGTTAATGGTACTGGGACTTATAGTTTGTATAGTTTATTTTTTTTTTTTGTAATCGAAAAAAATGAATAAATTAAACTCTGTGTACTCTGTGCTGGGGTATAGGCTGTTTTTTGGTAAAACCAACAAGAAATTGAAGGCAAACGACATAATTTTCCCAAGCGCAGCCCAACGTACTACCGCCATCTAGACAGAAGCGGAGGTACTATATTGGTCAGTCTATCGCAGCAACTCTGAGTTTACAAGAAGAATTTACAATCAGTAATATATGCCGCCATTTAACTCAAGTCGTTCAACTGTTTAAATAGATGGGGTTAAGTACACTAAGTTCGATTTCTTATCGATATACGCTATATTGCTGTTGAGGCACCAAATTTGAGGCAAAAACAATCTAAGCAATGGCCGTTGCAGGAAAACAAGGCCAGTATTTAAATAGAAAATTGGTTCATGGATTGGATAAAATTATGTGCTCCTGGCTAAATGTTCTATATAGCTGATATTGGACGGAAGATCAAAATTGAGGGAATCGTCGTATTTGTTGAATCGGTAATGGCCCGGTTGACAACATTTGTCGGTCACATTCAAAAAAGTTAGATTTGGCGCGCACCACTCGGTATATTTTGTATACTGTAGAAACTGGTTTTCGCCGCGCTCCCATGTGGTGTTTTTTAGTGCTAAATGGTATTTTTGTCATCTATTAATTTAATTTTCAATGTTATATAGAAATCCAATAAATGCAAGTATTTCGAATAGGCCAATCATGTATAGAATTGATTCATCAATCGTACAAAATTGAGTGGGCATGGCTAAATGTTCCATATAGATAGTATTATTCAACGGAACAAAGAATATGAGGAATTTGAATTCGCCGCAGTTCGCCCCAGTTCGCTTTAGCAGCAATGAGTCTCATTCCATACACAAATGTTGCTAATTTACCAGCAACATTGCAACTGTGTTTTTGTTAAACCTTGATTAGTCAAAATACAATAAAAGCAAGGACTAAAAACTGGCCAGTTAAGTAGAAAATTTATTCATCAATCGTATAAAATTATGTGGGCATAGATAAAGGCCCGGTTGACAACATTTAAATCCTTGTCGCTCACATTCAAATTTGGCGCGCACCACCCGGTATATTTTTCAAATGAGACCGTATATTTTGGTATTTATTTGAATCGGGTAGAATCTGTAATAACCGGTTCACAACAATGAGTCCCATTCCATGCACAAAAGTTGCAGTAACATTTACTTGAAACCCGTATTGTAGTCAAAATAAAATACTTACAAGCAATTTAAAGATGTTAGAAAATAGAAAATGTATTAATCTATGGGATAAAACTAAGTGGGCAAAGCTGAAAACTCTATATAGCTTGAAATATCCGGATTTGGAAATACCCGGTTCGCAACAGATGAGTCCCATTCCATACACAAACATGTTGCTAATTCCATGCACACATACCCTGGAGAAATGGATGATATAGAATTGCGGAAATGTGTTTCATCCCATGCTCTAATTAATGCAGAAACTAGTCAGTATCTATTTCAAACGATATATTGCAATTAGTGGTCTTCTTACAGAGACAAAGAATCGCTACAGGGATCAGGTTTTATATACAAATACCTAATCAAATGCATGAATAGACCAAAAAAATGCAATCTAAAACAAGGCCTTTATTAATTACATTTGAAAGCAGCTTGGAAAACAGTATCTTTATATAATATTCACGAAATAGGGTATACAAACGATCAATACCCTAGTTGACAACAAGTGAGTCTGCAAATACCAGCAACATTGACGTCACAACCTGCGACATTGAACATTTTTGATGAAATCGTGTTTTTGTCAAAACAAAAAACATGCAAGTACTTAAAAATAGTTAATCTTGATCAAAATTGATTCAGCTATCATATAAAACTGTCTGGGCAAAACTGAGAGATCTATATAGCTGGGAATATTCGACGGAAGAAAGATTAACCAAGAATTAGTCGTCATAACCGGTTCAGAACAATGAGTCCCATTCCATGCACACATACCCTGGGGGAAATGGATGTTATAGAATTGTGAATACGTTTGTCTTCCAAGGCTCAGTAGGTATCAGGATCGAGAGAAATATACACGAGATACCAATAATGTACTTGAATACGTCTAAAGAATATCAATTTGAGAAAAGGTCTTTATAAATCACGTTTTATCTTCATATAAAATTAACAAAATAGGGTATTCCAAGGCCTACACGCATCACAGTGACTCTCTTTTGGTTGGACTTTTTCGTTTAACCCTGTTTTTACAATAAATACAATAAAAGCAAGGATTAAAAACTATCCAATCTTGTAGAAAATTTATTCATCAATGGGATAAAATTATGTGGGCATTGCTAAGAGATTTAATTAGTCAGCATTATTCACTGGAATATCAAAATTGAGCAATATGAACGAATTTCCCTTTTCGTTTGTTTTGATTAACCTATTTCGCTACTTGTTTTTGTTTGACTTATTTCGCTAAAACCTTTTTTTAAGAAAAATCCAATAAAAGCAAGTGTTTTCAATAAGCCAGTCAAGTTGAGAATAGTTTAATTATTCGGATAAAATTATGTGGGCATGGCTAAATGTTCTATATAGCTAGTAATATTCAACGGAAGAAAGAAAACGAGGAATATGTGTAATAGAACTTGACTTCGTCAGTATATTTACGGTATATTTTTTAAATGAGACCGTATGTTTCGGTATGTTTCGGTATGTTTCGGTATGTTTCTGACGGTCGGACCGTATTTCTTATCGATAAGTATCGATATCAACCAGCCACTGACACTAGCTGTCAATTTTCTTTTCCTTTCTTTCCGGTCTCCGCTACATAGAAGACGCAAAGTACGTTAAATTGCTGAAAGTAATCTTGAATTTAAAACGAAATCCGAAGCAGTGATGAATTAAGGAAGTTAGCAGTGCCTGTGGTGACATTCACCGGTGGCATTGCTATTAATGTTGTGCTCTTTTTTTGTTTATGTGTGCTAAAAATGTACATTGGTTGGGCCTCCTGTACCCCCTACTCCTAAAGATCGAACAACAACAACCATAACAAAAGGAAACTAATAAGTTTTTTATTCTTTTTTTTTTTTGTTTGTGCAGCATGTTCATGCCAAAGGCCCATCGTGTCGCCATCTACGAGTACCTCTTCAAGGAGGGCGTCATTGTGGCGAAAAAGGATTTCCATGCACAGAAGCACCCCGAGTTGGAGTCAATTCCCAACCTTCATGTCATTAAGGCACTGCAGTCGCTGCATTCTCGCGGCCTTGTCAAGGAGCAGTTTGCTTGGAGACACTACTACTGGTATTTGACCAACGAGGGCATTGAGGAGCTCCGCAGCTACCTGCACTTGCCCCCAGAGATCGTGCCCTCGACCCTGAAGCGCCCTGCTCGCTCTGAAACTGTGCGCCCACGCCCAGCTGCTGGCGGCCCACGCGGTACTGGTGATGCCTCCAAGACTGGCGAGGATCGCTCGGCTTACAGACGCGCCCCCGGCGGCAGCGGTGTGGACAAGAAGGGAGACGTTGGACCCGGCGCTGGAGAGGTTGAGTTCCGTGGCGGATTCGGTCGTGGCTCGCGCAACTAAATACGCGGAGCCCTTCTTTTTTTATGTATCCATTAAACAAATGAGGATGTTTAGAGGTTTTCATCAGTCCGCAACAACAACAACAACATAAAAAAGTTGTGTACATGTTTTATGATATGAAAGACGATAAATTATAAAACATACGCAAGTGAAAATCAACGTTTCGTTTCTATTTTTTAAATGTTTGTGTGCAAACCAAGGAATGCCGCTCTGTGCCGCTGCAACACCACCGGGGATTTCCTCTTCGACAAGAATGGCATAGTGTCGTTGCTGGAGGCTCCAAAACATTTCTCTATTAACAAGCATTGTTTCTCTTAGGGTTTGTCCCGTTAGCTAGGCCTTTAAAGCGACAGCGATGTGCTGCTATTCAGACAGGAACACTACTGCGGAGTCGTGGTTTTCCACTGGGCTAGGATCCACTAAACGCCGACAGCTCAGCCAAGACTTGGCCAAATCTGGCTGTGACGATGCAATCTCGGACGCAATGACGCTCTACCCCTGTGCACGGAATATTCATTTTATCTATAATGTGGCCATAAACATATTAAGGCCTGATGATTGTGGTTCTGGTGGTTTGTTGGTTTACATTATTAATTCAGAGAATGACTTTATCGTTTCCCTGTTGCTGGGCTCTCAGCGGATCAAATGGATTGCAAATCTAAGCTACAGAAGATTTCTTTTGCTGCCATGACTTGAAGGCTAGTGGAATACGATTCCAATATTCCTGCTGCCTTTGTAAACCACGAGCCTCTGAAGTATGGATATTAAATGAAATAAAGAATACTATTTTATAAGAAGAGTTTTTTATTATTTACAGCATGTTAAAAGCATTTTTGTACCTAACCTACGGCTCAGTTCGCACCGAGCAATACATCGAAATGCGTGAAAGCCAACCCCGGCAAGCCGACGTTTGTGTAACCTTCCAAGTTCCACTAGTTAATTGATCTACTTAAAACCGAAAATATGTGCTTATCTGCCTTCAGCAGAAACCTAGAAATTTAGTTTTTCCAATATAAGCACGTGCCAGGCGCACATTTGAATAAATTTCACTAAGCTAAAACAACAAAATGGCAACTTAATGGAATAAAATGATGATAGGCTGATGATATTCAAACAGGTCGATCTGACCTATGAAACAAACAAATAAACGCAGTAAGTAAATGGTATAGGAACAGACTGACAGGACTGGGCTTGGTTGTGCTGCCAGAGATGATTCTATCTGGGAGTAACGATCTGCAGCTGTATGTAACAGCTTTCTAGCATACGAACTTGAAGGTGGTGCTTGTCTGAGGGGCTAATGGTTCGACCTATAGAACCAAAACTGTTATTGGCACTCTGCACTCTGCTGGCTATCGACGCTTGATCGATATCTTTCCTTTGGCCAAATGCGACATGGCGAGCTTGACCTTGCTCTCGTTCGTGCGCTTCACCCAAACCTGAAAGTGGCAAGCGATTAGCCAAACAACAAGTAGACACGGTTGAGAGGAGTACGTACCACTTCATTACCGATGGCCGTGATGGTAGCTGCAAATTTGCTCAGCTCCTTGCCCTCTACGTAGACCTGCTGGCCACGACAGAACCATCGTCGCTCGTAGAGCAACTTGTTGTCCTCGATGCGTGTTTCCACGTAACTGTTGGCCGGTGGGTCGGCCAGTAGCATGTGTGACTGCTGCTGTTGGGCATTTGTGTAGGAAACAAGGCCGTTCTGCTGCATGGTATTTGGGCCCAAGGGCTTGCCGCGCTGTATAACCTTGAGATCAGATTCGATTTCCTTGTCGTCTAGCTGATAGACCAGGAGCTGGCCGGTGGCTGGCTTTCGACGCTTCTCTATCACCGGCATTGGTTCGTTCGGTCGTCGGCGTAACTTTCGCGTCACCGTCGTTTTGATCTCCATTGAATCGCTGGTCAGCTCCAAGCTATACCGTTCGTTTTCGATCAATCGCTTTCGGTCCTCAAAATCCGATATCAGATTGTCCTTAAGATCCATCATCTTCTCGTCGTATTCCTTCTGGGCGGCCTTCTTCTCCAGAATATAATCCCGTTCGACGCACTCCCGCATGTAATCCTTATATATCTCATTCAGCCTACGTCGCTCTTTCAGCTGGTTGTCCAGCTTCTTAACGCGTTTTATATACTCTGGATGGATGAGCTGATTCAGTTCCTCCATTTGCTTTTGCAGATTGAGAAGCTTGTGCTGGTACATTCTGTGGAAAAGGGAACACAGAAGGCGTAAGCAATTTCAAGCGCATATAAAGATCGATTCCTCGGACTTACTGCTCTTTGAGCTCGCTGTTGCTGCCAATGTTGTTGTTTGTGCTGTTGTTTGATGTGCCGTTAGTGCCACCGTATCGGTTGGGACTCCGGAACTCTGTTTCACTCGCGTCGTCCGTATCTACAGAATGAGTTTTAAAGCGTTATGGCTAGTTTCTTACTGATAACTCGTTTGCAAGTCTGCTTCTGTTTCGGGTAACACAGCTGCACTACGCACTTACCTTCTTCACTTCGCTCGTCTCCAATGGACTCGTCGTCATAGTTGTCACGCGTGTAGAGGCTGTAGTAGCTGGACATTGTTTTTTCTTATTTTTATTCTTGATTATTTATTATTATTCTTTATTACTCAGCAGTTGTTTATTTTTTTTACAATGACTGATGAGTATTCTTGTGTATGTATGTATGTATCTATAGTGTGCACACACGCATTTATTTATTAAATGGGCATCAGTGTGACCGCGGATTCTATCAAATATACGGTCTGACCCTCGGAAATATACCGAAATACGTCACAGATTTCGAAATATACCGTAAATATACTGACGAATTATTTGTATTTAAGTTGTATCATAGTCCTTGTTTTTGATATTCGGCCTAATGTTGCTAGCTAGTTAGTCTCAGTTGATCCACCATCCCTATGCGATATTTAGCCGATAGCTTACAAATGCAACCCTAAAAAGCAATCAATGGCAAGAAAAAATCATTCGCGCCAATATATATTTCAAATTGTATTTTAAATTTCAAATTTCATTTTTGAGTATCAATATCAATATATCAATATCAAAAGAAAAAAATAATTTTGTATACCCTTTATATACTAATTTACTTTTAATAATAATATATTAATATATACGAATATAATGAACTGTGGGTTTGTCAACACACAAATAAGCCGTTTTCCAAGCTTTGGATGAAATTAATATACGCATCTAATACAGAATTTTTCAGAGCTTTAAAAAATAAAAAAAATTCAATTTAAAAAACTAGCCCATTGCATGGGCAGTTTTAAAGAAAAACTTAATATTTGGGCTGTTTTTCAACTTTGACTTGACTTGAGATTTTGATTGTTTATGTTCTTTGAATATTCCTTTATCTATATATAAAAGCTCTTTCTGCGATTTGGAGCCGTTCGGCTTCTAGATCAATTTAGCTGATCACTACTTTATGGGGTCGGAAACTCCTTACACGAATTTAATAAACCCCATATCCTTCAGTACAGATTATCAAATTTGCAGAAGATTACTACGGCAACAATCCATCAATTTCGTTAGATTTCGTCTCCCTATAAATAACTATTTGTACGTACATACATACATATGTATATGCACATACATTCCCATGTGCACATAATGTATATATGTACACGTATTGTATAAAAATATATATATGTGCGAGTGTAATGCGTACTTCTGTTTCGAATATTAACAGTTGCCCGCAGTTGCTGTCGTTCTGGCACAAATTTCCGAGCTGTCGTCATGGGAGAACGATGCCAATGGATGGCGCCCACGCACACAGAGATATATCCACTGGCTGGGCTGCGCTATTTGCCCACGCTGAGAAATTAGTGAATTATGTATACGTATGTATATATGTATACATATACATGCATAGCTCAGCCAGAAATTCCGTACTAAATCAACGCGGGCAAATTTTGATTGATTTGTGCATGGGTGGGGGAGGGTCTAGCAGTGGGATGACAAACTATGACTAATAGATCTGTGGAATCGTTTTTCTCTCTTTCGTCTGGTTTTGCGAAATCTACTAGAATGATGCTGATGACTAGACCGAGGCGTTCGAAACTCGAATGTTCTTGTTTCGCGAGGAAAATTTGTTTTCCGAACAACCAAAAACATTTCTACATGCAAACAAACATAGATATGATGAATATTCACGTATCGTATGTATATACGGTAATCGGAACAGTGATCCTCATGAGCCACACGCCACACACACACACAACAGATGATCTATAATTACGTGCCTATGTACATGCATACATATGTATGTACCTAAAATGTATGGATGCGTTGTAGCCTCTGAATTGTTGTTGATTGCTGCTTTGTTAGCTTTTGGCCCGTTGTCTTCGTTGAGATTTTGTCGCCTTCAAGGTCGAAAATTTCGATGAAAATATGTTTATTGTTTGGACAGGGGCATTAACAGCCTCGTCCATGTGGGCGATGCCAAGACCAAAACACCTTAACCGCAGCGGCAGCGGCAGCAACGGCGAACGCGACAGCACTGATCGCAAATGATTGTCATTTTATTTTTGTAATTCATGACTTAATCTATTTGTATTTTGATGGACTGGTTTTCGTTGCCCCCGTAGGAACTCGAAATGGAACCAGGAATGACTCATTTGCATATGTACATATGTATGTACATATGCATCCAGCTCAAAAATAATTACTGCAGCGGCACTGTTGCAGCTCATTGACTTGCCATAGCCGTCACTCCATAAAAAGAAAAATCGGTGCACGACACACGATTCTCGAATGTCCTCCTGTATCGCCACTTAATCACCGCAATTTGCATTTGTTTACTAACAAACCGAGACAACGTAGAAATTAACCTGCAACGCCAACGCCGACACCCACGTGGCCTGTTCGGAGAGCTCGCCTCTGACCAATTTGAGAGCTTCGGAGTTCTGCCAACATTAAAAACATTCTCTGCCCTAAAACGGCACGAAGCTTTTAAATCGAGCCGGTTGGCATTGTCACCTGAAGCATACATGCATATATGTAAGTATATGAACCCTACGCGTCGGTCATTAACAGCATCAGATCATCTAAGTAAATCTTTGCCTATTTTAAGTGGTGGAGAAGTGAAGTAGGAAGTGTCGCAGAGTGCTTAGTTTGACATGCAATTGGATGCCAGACACACATGAACAACAGGCAAATGTGTACATATGTACATACATTCGTATGTATTACTATTGGTCGTCATAAATGGTAAAAACCGGCATTCAAATCTACAAAGCTCAGAACGATTTGAGTAACATAGAATTCTTCGCCGATAGGTTGAGTGAATTAGTAAGCTCACGTTAGCCTCGGACGAAGAGGTAAATATGAAATGAGTGGGAGTGAGGGGCTGTTTTCGAATTCATTTGAATGTACTCATTGCCTCATTTGCATATGTACATATATATATATCATATATGTCTGCTAATGATAGAATACACAAAGTGGCCATTAGAGTAATACGAATGTCTTTGGCTCAACCTTTCTTTTTGTTTTGCCCACTTCATTCTAATTAAAGCTCAGACCGCAGCGCCAATATGCACTAGAAAGAAATCCAAAACCAAAAAAAGTATAGCAAAAGTTGGTAACATTTCTAGATATGTATGGACATATGTACATATCAGTGTTCGTTTTGTCGCCACTGTAAACGTTGTGCTTGTAAAATAAAGCTGCGACCATAAAACATATGTGTATTTTTATCGATAGCCGTTATTTTTCAGCAGCCACATATGCATGAAAAAATATATTTTTGAATCATAAAATTGGTGGCATATAGTCGTATTCCACTACACTTCAGGACCAATATAGTCTGAAAGACGATAAATTTACACTAGGGTTGATTTTTGCAGCTATTGCGATTTGTTTTTTCCAAACACAAAGTTTGTTTACATATGTACATATTTAGCTGTACTGTGACACTGCGGTTTTGCTGCGAGAGTTCCTGTACGTGTACGTATGTGTGTGGGTGTCTCTGCTTGCTGCCATGCAGTCTTTGTTTTTCGCGCTCTCTGGCTTTCTCTTTCAGTCTCTCGCCTATTAGTTCTCTTTTCACCTCTCTCGCGCTCTCGCAGTATGAACGAATAATGCAACATTAAAACGCGATACGGTTCTCCTTTCAAATCTAATTTTTGTGTTTTTAATGTGTCATTGAACAGTAGTTTAAAATCTTAGCATTCAGTTATTTTGTTACATTTGAGAGAAAAAAACTGAGTAAAGTGGTCAGTGCTGCCAACTTTTCAGCGGGAAAAAATATTTTCTTAGCTTGAAGAACACGAAAAAAAGCTAAAATATTTCAGAACAAAAGCGTAGTCAATGGTTATTTTTTATTATTTATTTAAAGTGATATTATTGATATGTATAATAATCGATTTTTGCGTTTGACCACGGCAATGATAACATTTTGAGGGCAACAGGTGCCCAAACAGGTGCTCAAAAAATTCGCGGTTGCCACCGGAATCTTTATAAAAGTAAACCTCACTCCAACACTTATTTGTGTCGCTGATGTTTTCCCATTTTATTAAATGAATTTCGCTTTACTTTCGTTAAATTTTTAAATATTATCAACTTTAAGATACTTCAAAATGGCGGTTATTTAATTTTTTTAGCGCACTCGATTTTTAGACGGAAATTTCGAAATTATCTGGTAAACTAATAGTGGTATTGGCAAATGTCGATCAAAAATAATGATAAACCTGCCAAATTTGTATGTAAACGGTAGTATCATTAAGAATGCTGAAAAAACCAAACTCATATCAAAAAAATCAATAATTCCCGCTTTCCGCAAAAAAGCCAGAGCTGACGGGAAAAAAGCGAAATCGGCACCCCTAAGAGTGGTTGAATGGATTCTTGAGAGAGTGAGAGAAAGAGAGCACGATTTTGTACAGGCCCTGACAAAATCACGGTATATTATGAATTGGGGTGGATTTTACCTTGCATGCGTTGGATTTTTCGGTCCGTTTTGCTTGTTGTCCATACCTTTTCTTGCCTTGCCGGCAACATGTTTACTAGCAACATGTGTATTTTCGACCAGCAACATTGCGGGTGTTTTTGAAAGAAAAGGCATGCCCCCAACATTTTTACTATAAAAGCGTCAGCACGATACAGAATTAAATTTAAATTAAATTAAACAGAACTAAAACGCGGCAAATCGTGCGACGCGCTGACACGCATACACGTGCATACATATATAAATATTAAAAATACATTGTATTGCTTAATTTTTTTTTGTTGGTTGCTTCGTCAAGTCGGTTGATTACAAGTGCATAAACTCGGGAGCTCTTCGCACGGGTCCAAATTAAAGAAAACACCACCACCACAAAAGCAGAAGCGACAACTTCGCCGTGTGTTTTTATTGAGCTATTTGTAGCTCAACGCAACCACCACAGAAACTCGAGGAAATCAAAAATGGCCGAAGCCAATAAGAGGAATATCCCCATCAAACTGGGCGACTTCAGCGTCATCGATACGGAGTTTAGCAATATTCGGGAAAGATTCGATTCCGAGATGCGCAAAATGGAGGAGGAGATGGCCAAGTTCCGCCACGAGCTGATGAACCGGGAGGCAAACTTTTTCGAGTCCAC